GACACTGATAAAGAAAAAAATGGAGAAAAATATGGAAAAAAAGTTGTGCTGCACCTCACTGACCAGAAGTGTTCAGCGCGCAGGTTTTACTCCTTCAAGGTGTAGTGACTGAGTGTTCTGAAGCAGATTTCACAGCAGACACAGAAAGCACCGCGCTATGAAACCCATTCATTTCAATGGCTTCAAACGTGCTGACCAAACTGTTGTACGCTATAGATGCTGAATAATGTCAACTAAATTGATGCATCACTTCAAATATAACTAAGTAGTAGTAATAATAATAGTAATAATAATCTCAGCCCTATTGGTAAAAAAAAAAAAACTAAATCCTGTCATCTTTTTTTGTATGAAAATGCACTGAATAGTGCCACATTGCACTGCTCTAAGAACTTGGTGTTCCTTCCTCTAGCTGAACATCTTTGCATTTAGCTAGATAGTAATGTTATTTTTTATTATTGGGCATGCACCAAATTTTCAACCACTGAAATGGCATTGCTGAAAAAGTGTTCAGTGTTCAAGTCTTTTGTGTTGTCTCAAGTGTGTTTTAAGTGCAAATTAAGATATATTTATACCTGCTCTTAGATGTTTTTCACCACATATTAACACTTTTGGAAACTTAATCAGGTATTTAGCACATTGTTTCTTCTGTCCTGCTGGGTAGATCAGTATGGGCTACAGTTCACGTGTGCATCTCACCTCACTGACGCATACAGTAGAAGATTCATTCTAATTAGATCTTTTAACAAATTACACCTTGTTTTTATTTTGTTTTATTTTCGTTTTATTTGTTTTTATTTCGTCTGTATTGGTTGCATTTTGGTCATAGTTTGTCATTTTAAAGATTTTTGTTTAGCTTTCCATCAGTGGAAAAAAATGGCATTGACAGAAAATGTTAATGTTAATAAAATATGGCTTTTTCATCAGTATAATTTTTTATTAACTTTAAAATGTCCTGTAGAATTGCTTAATTTAATTTATTAAAAAAATAATGAATTATTACAGTGCATGTTTGGTTTAGGTTTATAGCCAAGTGCATTGAGTATTTTCGGTTTCAGCCTAGAATTTTTATTACGCTGCATGCCTGTTTATTGTTAAGTGTAATTCAGTCTTTGTGTCATCACATTTCTGTCATTATTGAACGGCTGATCTCAGTCAGTTTTCTCTCCGCCTCACGCTACTGAATCAGAGTCTTGTGTTCCAGTCATTTGTGTGTTTCTGTAGGAATGTGCTGAAGTTTCTCTCTCTCTTTCTCCATTCAGACCGAGGCTCGTTCTGCCCAGCCGGATCAGGTGGTCAAGGACATGCCGGAGATGG